GCTTCTGGATGTAATTGAATACTATCTATGTAATTACTATGAATTTGATAGACGAATTCATTCATGAAAATGGAAATAGAAAAGGACATAGTATACATCCCTGGCGGACACCGATGTTGCTAACGAACATTTCTGATTTATTCCGAAAACTTCTTATTACTATACACACACTAGAAAAATAGATTTTCCAACATGTCCTTGATAAAGTAACCACATATTGATTTTTGTCACAGGGTCAGCTACCTTATTTCCCTTTACTGATAAATATCGGGTAGGATAAAATCGTCGCCATTAGTCGAGTACCCTTTCTAAATGCAGCTTGGGACTCACTTATATTTTCGTAGGTATCTGCCTAGACTACAAGCCTCTTCTTGACGATGTCAGTAAATACTTTACTAAATTTGTTAAGAAGAGTTATTCCACTGTAACTATTTACATTATTTGGTTCAACCTGTTTGTAAATCGAAACAAGAAAAACAGTCATCCAATTCACTGGATAATAGGATCTTTCAAAAAGTAATATTGAAAATAAGTTCACAATATGGCATAGCTGCTTGACATTTACCAAATATATGGAGAATACTACACTCATTCTCATTACATACCATTTTTAGGAAACGAGTGGGCTTTCTTTGGTGTCCGTCCTCGCTTTCGCTCGGTCAGATACAATAGAATGTTCACGAGTTTCGTAAAAATGGTATCTAACGAGAACGAGTGTGGTATTTTATTCATTACCCACGTCAAATATGTATTTAAGTATAAATACATAACAACTTTCTTTCGTTAACATACCAAACTGAAACAGGTTGCAAATCTGGTTGCGCATGAATATTGATATATGCCCCCAAAAGGGCATTGTGGACATTTCTATGCATACGCATTAACAACATGTTCCTGCTGTTGTGTGTGCAAACATGACAGCATCAACGCTCCAGATCTTATTTTAAGAATTAACTCAACTTATTGTATTTCAAGCGCATGTTGTTAGTACGCAGAACAATTAGCGTCGCGCTTTGAATCTCGGACCAGCCCTCAGTCCTTCCAACCGACGTAAGAGGGAAATCAGAGTGCTCGCCAAAGAAGTGTATGTTAACTGTACCACCCTATACTAAAGACGTGAAAATCAACAAACTCAAGTCTGCTTACATGTCAGTTATAGCTTCGAACGAAGGGCAAGGTCACCATCGGAACAAGAAAAGACAACTGTGATCTACTCACAGCGTTTTACGCTAGAGGTCAATAGGGAATGTTATTTTCACACTTGGGTTGTTTGGGTCACAAACACACAAGTCAGGCACACTTCCACGGAGTTTTCGAATGATTTGTATCGGAACTGTTCACTTTGAGTGATCTGGTCGTGCAGTCGTGTATGTTCATTCATGAACAAACACCTTCGAAAGCAATATCACAAAATACGCTTTCATTGGGGACTCTGATGGCACAACCGGAGCATCCATCGTAACTCTAGATATCTGTCCAAATAGCTTAAACTGACTTCATTTCACCTCGATTAACCTTTTACGTTAAATCATATTGAAAGTCGCGAAAGTGGTCGGATGCGTCACGCTCATATGGACCCTCGATCCATCGGTAGTCGTACATTGCATAATGATATAGCTCGATAATATAATGTCTGTCGTAGCTCTATGCATAACTAATATAGATTGCTAAGCGAATTTAATGCGTGTGACGATCTTGTTTGGTTAAATAAGGTGTGTGTAAATGTCTCTCACTTTCATGAGATTCCTTCCGTTCTGCCTTGTAATTGTAAAAAAGAATGTAATTTGTTTATGAATGAAAAAAGTTGTTCCGGTGTGACAGAGGTCACGGCAGTCCAATCGAAACGAATGAAACGAGGTCAACCTTGTACGACACACGTATGACGTATATATTTAGTATCTTACCATCTGTATCTTCCTCACTTGGGTAATAATGTGGTAGATGTGACTTGGACTGTGGTCGATGACGGTGGGACTGTGGTAGATGTGTCTGTGACTCGGGTAGATATGGGTGGGACTCGGGTAGATGTGTCTGGTAATCGGGTAGATGTGAATTGTCCTCGGGTAGATGTGTCTTGGACTCGGGTAGATGTGACTGGTACAAGTGTACATATGGCTGTGACTCGGGTAGATGGGGCTGGTACTAGTGTAGATGTGGCTGTGACTCGGGTAGATGTGGCTGTGACTCGGATAGATGTGGCTGTGACTCGGAAAGATGGGGCAGGTACAAGTGTAGATATGGCTGTGACTCGGGTAGATGGGGTTGTGACTCGGGTAGATGTGGCTGTGACTCGGAAAGATGGGGCAGGTACAAGTGTAGATATGGCTGTGACTCGGGTAGATGGGGCAGGTACAAGTGTAGATGTGGCTGTGACTCGGGTAGATGGGGCTGGTACAAGTGTAGATGTGGCTGTGACTCGGGTAGATGGGGCTGTGACTCGAGTAGATGGGGCAGGTACAAGTGTAGATGTGGCTGTGACTCGGGGAGATGGGGCTGGTACAAGTGTAGATGTGGCTGTGACTCGGGTAGATGGGGCTGTGACTCGGGTAGGTGTGGCTGTGACTCGGGTAGATGGGGCTGTGACTCGGGTAGGTGTGGCTGGTACAAGTGCAGATGTGGCTGTGACTCGGGGAGATGGGGCCGGTTCAAGTGTAGATGTGGCTGTGACTCGGGTAGATGGGGCTGGTACAAGTGTAGAAGGGGCTGTGACTCGGGTAGACGGGGCTGGTACAAGTGAAGATGTGGCTGTGACTCGGGTAGATGGGGCTGTGATTCGAGTAGATGGGGCTGGTACAAGTGTAGATGTGGCTGTGACTCCGGTAGATGGGGCTGGTACTTGTGTAGATGTGGCTGTGACTCGGGTAGATTGGGCTGGTACAAGTATAGATGTGGGTGGGACTCGGGTAAATGGGGCTGGTACTTGTGTAGATGTGGCTTTGACTCGGAAAGATGGGGCTCTGACTCGGGGAGATGGGGCTGGTACTTGTGTAGATGTAGCTGTGACTCGGGTAGATGGGGCTGGTACTTGTGTAGATGTGGCTTTGACTAGGACAGATGGGGCTGGTACATGTGTACATGTGGTTTTGACACGGGTAGATGGGGCTGTGACTCGGACAGATGGGGCTGGGACAAGTGTAGATGTGGCTGTGACTCGGGTAGATGGGGCTGGTAAAAGTGTAGATGTGGCTGTGACTCGGGTAGATGGGGCAGGTACAAGTGTAGATGTAGCTGTGACTCGGGTAGATGGGGACGGTACAAGTGTAGATGTGGCTGTGACTCGGGTAGATGGGGCTGGTACTTGTGTAGATGTGGCTTTGACTCGGAAAGATGGGGCTCTGACTCGGGGAGATGGGGCTGGTACTTGTGTAGATGTAGCTGTGACTCGGGTAGATGGGGCTGGTACTTGTGTAGATGTGGCTGTGACTCGGGTAGATGGGGCTGGTACAAGTGTAGATGTGGCTGTGACTCGGGTAGATGGGGCTGGTACTTGTGTAGATGTGGCTGTGACTCGGGTAGATGGGGCTGGTACAAGTGTAGATGTGGCTGTGACTCGGGTAGATGGGGCTGGTACTTGTGTAGATGTGGCTGTGACTCGGGTAGATGGGGCTGGTACTTGTGTAGATGTGGCTGTGACTCGGGTAGATGGGGCCGGTACAAGTGTAGATGTGGCTGTGACTCGGGTAGATGGGGCTGGTACTTGTGTAGATGTGGCTGTGACTCGGGTAGATGGGGCTGGTACTTGTGTAGATGTGGCTGTGACTCGGGTAGATGGGGCTAGTACTTGTGTAGACGTGGCTGTGACTCGGGTAGGTGTGGCTGGTACTTGTGTAGATGTGGCTGTGACTCGGGTAGATGTGACCGATACAAGTGTAGAAGTGGCTGTGACTCGGGTAGATGGGGCTGGTACAAGTGTAGATGTGGCTGTGGCTCGGGTAGATAGGGTTGGTACAAGTGTCGATATGGCTGTGACTCGGGTAGATGTGGCTGTGACTCGAGTAGATGGGGCTGTGACTCGAGTAGATGTGGCTGTGACTCGGATAGATGGGGCTGGTACTTGTGTACATTTGGCTGTGACTTAGGTAGATGGGGCTGGTACTAGTGTAGATTCTTGTACCGTTGTCAAGCATCATTTCGGACTTTCCATTCTCAGTGAGCTGACACACCCTTATATCACTGGGATATTGTTCAAAGCCGTGTTACACCAAATTTACTCACTGAAGGATATAGGACAACAATTGAATCAAAACATGTCTTTGTGCACGGGTTTACGCCAGTGTTAACTTATCACCGTTATGAAGAAACAGTGTGTTGAAGGAATACAAACTGTAGTTATAAATCAGTTCAGTAGAAGGAAGAAATCAGTGACAAGCGACGTCATTGAAACATGAGGAGGAAATACCCCCTATCGACTGAAGAGAAGGTCTACAAGTTCACTGAAATGTATACCTGTATCTTCAAGGCTTTGTTCAGATATTGATTCGTATTACATTATATTAAAAGATGTCATAATATTGGTTGATCCTGCTTGAGCCAATCCAATTGAAAGTCACACTGTTTATTATCAGGAAAACAGACGAGTGTTTATATAAGGCAGTTTAAGAAGTATTATGCTTTAGTAACACGTGACACTATAAAGGGAAAGGAGGAAGGGAAAGGTGTAAGGGGAACAGAATGTTGACACAAATCATACGGCAAAGGTGGCAGTTTACGTTTGGTAAGTACGATGTTTTTTCAAAGTATAAGTTGCAAGTCGTCTGGAGCAGTTGACAAATCATAACACCCTTATATGTTTGACGTGGCTATTCCAGGCTTTGGAAACAATGGTTTTTATATTAAATTTTATACCATCAAAATAGACAGAATCAGCTTTTTATTTATCTGGTATTATTTGTGAAACTATTATTTACAAATGTCAAACAGTGAGGTACCTTCCTACGTGTTTTTAATTATTCCAGAATCAGAATTCATGGATTTATACAAATACTCTGTGTCTCAAGGTCAACTGTTATTGTGTTTCAGAAACAATGCATGTGGAAATATTGATATTTCTCCTGCTGATGACGGATGCAACATGCACCTCTGTCAGTGGCTGTCACACCAGTTATAGTGCAGCGTACCAGGGTAACGTCACCGACTGTCAAAGACAGAATCTCACTCAAGTGCCATCAGATCTTCCAAAGGACATTGTAGGTTTGGATTTACAAAATAATCTTCTCACCCGAATATCCAACAACAGTTTTAGCGCTTTACGTGACCTGAGATTCCTTTATCTGAGTGCCAATCCGTTAAATACATTGCAGAGAGATGCTTTCAAAGGTCTTGGTAAACTGGAAGCCTTGAAAATGAGTTGTGACACGCTTTCATTGGACAAGACAACATACCCAGATGGACTGTTCGAGTATTTGGTTAGTCTGAGGCAATTGGTTCTGTTAGGAAGTATAAATAACGAAGGACAATTTCCTACTGATATTGTACAAGGTCTACACAGCCTAGAAAAGCTTTATATTAACTCCTGGCCTAAAGACGGAAAATGGCCCCAATTAGAACAGTTGAAAGACACCCTCACACTTCTGAATATCAATACCATAGGTATACCTGTTATTGGAAACACAACCTTTCAAGCTTTGCGTGATATTCCACTTAAAATATTAAATTTCAACGGTGTTGTTAGAAATATAGAAGCAGGAGCATTTTGTCCTTTTAAGAACCTAACCAATTTGCTAATTGGCCTCTCGCATGGAAGCACGACCAAGTTCGTCTCCATAACAAGAGCTCTTCGGTGTTTGGCTGGAAGACATATGGAGGAAATAATACTGTCTCGAGTTGTTACCACAGGAGAAACCAGTGTGACTCTAACAAAGGAAATGTTCGGTTATCTTGCAGATATATGTGTGAAAAAGCTAGACGTGTCTCGTAATAAGATTACACAAGTTGATGATAATGCCATAACCAATTCGACTTTCTTCAGATGTATCGAATATCTAGACTTGTCTCGAAACTTGTTGAATGGGAAATTGCTCCCTGCTGCAAAAAATATGTACATGATGGAAAATCTGAAATATCTGGATTTGTCTCGGGGTACAAAATTGAGCTTTTCTATCAGCCACAAATATAATACCACAAAACGAGGAGGGGTGTATTTTCCCATACCTCCTAATCTAAGTTATGTAAACCTCAGCAGATCTGCCAATGCTAACCATGTGCGTATCAGTTTAACACTGACACAAAGCGATCATCTATCTGTGTTAGATTTCTCTAGAAATGATCTTTTAGACATTCCGTCATATTTGAAATGTTGTAAAAATCTGAATCTCTTGGACATATCCCATATGAAGATCAGCCAGAATGTATTCAACAACACCAACATGGTGACGAATCTCCAAATATTGCTTGTTCACGATGTGACGTCAGATGATGACATGTTTGTGTCCCCATCTGAACCTTTTTTCAATGTCATGCCCAAACTAACAAGACTCGATTTGTCAGGCAATAATCTGCAGCTTATCAACAAAAATACATTGAGAAACTTTAACAAATTGGAAAACCTTTCTCTTGCACGAAATCGACTGGATGACGTAGCAGAAGATCTCCTGATGATGGCTAGGCTAAAACATTTGGATATGACATCGAATTCCCTGTCAGTCATCCGTAAACAGCAACAGACAATGCTCGATGACTTTGTTGTGAATAACGGTTCGTTCTACCTCTACCTAACAGGCAACATCTTCAGCTGCAGCTGTGGAACTCTTCACTTCATACAATGGTTACTGGAAACTGATGTCACTTTAGATCACCATGGCAACTACAGCTGCATCCTTGGTGATGGAACGTTGTCTGATACAGCTTCCTTTTATGCAAGCAGGACATTTCAGTGGAGAACATGTGTTGGTCAGTTCTGGTTGGCGGTGGCCATAGTTGGAAACTTGGTTGCACTGTTGTCTTTACTTGTAGCTTTTCTTTTCAAGAAATATTTCCCCAAAATAGAACACCGCGTATTGGATATCCTTGGTTATAACCCAAGACGCCGACCACAAAGGGAGGATTTTGATTATGATGCCTACATATGCTATGAGAGTGCTGAGTATCATTGGCCATGTCATTGTCTCTTCAAGGAGCTCCCCAAAGTCTCCCCTGGTATAAGACTGTACCTGCCCGACTTACATGACCCTGTAGGGTGTTCCCAGGCTGAAGTGACCATTAATACTTTGTCGAGAAGCTGGAAGATTGTTATCGTGCTTACAGAGAACTTCCTGAGAGACGAGTGGATACACTTTACTGTCCTGTCTATTGTGAGGCTGATGTCCGTGAACAACGCAATCACGGACCGGGTCCTGCTTCTGTACAGGGATATGCCCTTGGCAGCGAGAGCTCGAGTTCCTCGTCTTCTCCTCAACGTGGTTTCAGAGGAACACATTCTGGACGTGGAGGAACACCCCCAGTTCTGGACACATCTGTGTCAGCGTATCCTCAACGCTGATCCCGCAGCCTTATTCTAAAGCTTAACATTTGATGTTTAATACAATATATTTAATAACTTTACGACAATGTCAAAAGTGAGATTAGTTCTGTTCATGAGGAAATTGACTGAAAGTTCGAAGCATATGAAAGAAAGGTACAAAGTTTCCAACAAATATACTGAGGGGTTATAAATGGGAAACAAATGTATAATGCTGTTGACAATTTTGTAGTCATAAAGAACCTGAATGTTCACACCCACGAGGATAAGGATTCGCGAGTGACAAAGAACAAGGTGTTGGCGCTTCTGCCTGACGATCTGGAACTACGCAAACAATGTTAAAATGAAAGGAAGGAGGCCTAGAGGAAATATACCCACGTTTAGTCAGAGCAACTATGGATTCTTTGGAAGCAAAAGCTGAAGTTATGAAGGCTAAATCTACGCTGAAAGTATCTCGTAAACATGGGGTTATTATACTGAACATTGCACAACACCTGAGGAGTGAATGAAGCCCTACATCAAGATGTGAGGTTGCAGTACGCGTGATTGACTACATAACAGACTCTTTTAACGTTTCCATGGGTACTAAGCAAGGTTGCAAATTGTCACAACTCTATTTTCTCTATATATAAATGATGTTGCCAAGTTGATAACAACTCACAAATGGGGTGTACCATTGGATAACGAATGTTACCCATTTTGTTATACGCTGATGATAATGCGTTGTTAGCTCAAAATAAAAAATATCTGCAACATATGTTAGATATTGTAAGTACTTGGTGTTTAAAATGGTGTATTAGTATTAATGACAAAATCAAAATTGTCTGTTTTCGGGAAAAAAAATCTATTTTTAGATCTTGTTATAAGTTTTATTGTTACAATACTCACATTTCTTATGACAGCGCTTATCGTCATTTAGGATTGTGTTTAAAAGAATATTTAGACATGCACAAGACTGTGAAAGAGCTTTGTTAGTCCGCTAGTAGAGCGTTATCTGCTCTGTACACTAAGTATATTTATGCTGTTGGAATGTCACATTATGTTTTTTTACGAAGTTGTATAAATCGCTGGTAGAACCAGTTTTGTTTTATGGTGCCATTATATGGGTCTTTCATAGTTTTAAAGAAGTTGAAGTTGTGCAAAATAAGGCTGCCTGAATGTATCTTGGTTTAAGTAAACATGCACCTGTTCTTGCAAGTAGAGGGGATATGGGCTGGTATTCTGCCTGATATTATTGTTTGGATGTTTTACCACTTCTTACTCGAAATCAGACTGGGTGTTAAATGCTGTGTTGGGTATATTAAAAACGTTTTATTTCAGGATGACGTAGTTAATTTTCACACTTCGTTTTGGAATGTTAAGTGTAATGTAAATGGAAATAAGTTAAGTACTTGCAGAAAATTTAAGTTTACACCTGCTGTTGAATTCTATGTTAAAAATATTATGTATAGAGACCACCGCCGTCTTTTAGCCAAGTTTAGATGTTGAATTTTACCTTTGTTTGTTGAGGGGGGCACGGATGGCCAAGTCGTCAAAGGCGCCGCGATTCGCTGTGCAGAGTTGCGTCCCTTGGGCACGCCAGAAACCTATGATTGTAGGTTCGAATCCGGGTTCGCCCAAATTATGGTTTTCTAGGTTTGTCAGCACCATACCCGTGCTCGAGGGTTTCACCAAAGTGGTAAACGTCTGAGACCTGCATCACTTCGGGCTTACCTCCCACATTAAGCTCACACGCCGTGATATAACTGGAATACTGTTAAAAGCGGCGTTAAACCCAACTCACTCACTCCCTCACTTTGTTTGTTGAGACAGGTAGATGTTCCAAACCTTCTATACATCTATCGGAAAGGTTATGTAAATATTGCGATTGTGATTTGGTGGGAGATAAATGTCACTTTTTACTACATGGCAGTTTTATGATGATTTCCGGTATGATTTATATTGCGCAGCTCAAAAAAAACCTGAAGTTTAATGTGATATGCGAAGAAGACAAATTTATTCATTTAATGAATTCAAACGTTTTACCAAAGTTGCTTGCCGCAACGCCTTGTTTAAGAGACGACAGTTGTCACCATGATTATTTAATTTGCTCTCTCGTTCTTTATTGTCCTGTGAGTCTTCTGAATTCGTAGCTAAATTTCCCACCTCTTACATTATATGTATGTATATATTTTGTTTATGTTGTATATAGTGTCTTTGTCTGGCTGGACGCACTCCATACACCTTTTGTGTTATGCGTCAATTTTATATTGTACATGTTGTGCATGTGACACTTTAATAAACGTTTTACAATCAACATCGTTCAGTTTTCTTAACCTTTCTGTAAAATTTAATCCTGACCTTACCGTTTTTGTTAACAGAGAGATCACTGTGGTCGCAAAGGAAATTCTTATAAAATGCATCACTGTACCTACGAAGTGCAAAACAAGCAAATTCTGCTTGGATATTGTGTCAGTGACGACTTCAAACAATAGAGCAACGTCACGGTCGAAATAAGAATTGATAACCGCGACGAACATACAACATATTAAGGTGGCACGTGGTATTGTGGACAGCGTACAGGTCACAAATCAACTGAAGTTAAGCAACGTTGGTGGCGGAGAGTAGTTGGATGGGTGATTGCGTTCGGCAGCTTGACTCCTGAAGTACATTGTGCAGGCTTAGGCAAGTGTGTCTTGGTTCACATGCCTTTTTCATCCAGCAGTGAATGGGTCTCCGGTAGAATGAGATGGTAATGTTAACCTTAATATAACTGTTAACCGTCAAGCTCCTCAGTCAACTTAGGTTGTATACTCATCAGGGAGATGAGAATGCACTGATTCATCTTTAGTGTTCTGAGCGTTCTTATGGTATCCAAAAATGTTCTGTTCGAGTGTTCTGCAGACCTCATTATACCTATAGACATATCTGTATCTGTATACAGCATACGCATATAGTTCGATTGTGTAGTCTGTCTGTAGTAGATGTTTATTAAGGTATTACTAATAAAGAATATATGAAGAAATTAAAGTGTGTGACGTGCTTGTTCGGTTTAATTAAATGTAGATTTCGAAGACGTATCCAATTAAAACGAAGTTGACCTTATACAAAACACGAGTTATGATGGGATTGAGTATCTTCCATCTGTCTGGTCACCTTGTGGTTTAATAATGCAAAACGCATTATTATATCACTGGATCAGTGAGAATTCAAATTTCTCATCTTGTTTCCACTCGTGTACACAACCAAGCATGTATGGCAGACATTAGACGGTTTACAATATCATCCTACCGGGTACCCATACGCCGATGCTGGAACAGGGGCGTTCTGTAACCCGTGCAGCTGCGTTTTCTTGGGGCTGTGTCTAGAATATCTTGGAAACAAGCCTCAGAGGGTGTTAATCCCTTCTCCTAAATTCCACCGTCAGTGTCGCTTACTGTCATGAATTCCACCGTCAGTGCCGCTTACTGTCATGAATTCCACCGTCAGTGCCGCTTACTGTCATGAATGGAAATACGTTTCTACCTGTTCCAATATAAACACCATACAGTCTACCATAGTCTCATTTGCAACTTCCATGGGAATACTCAGCAGTGGGGTGATCAGGAGATTTCATGTAGATCATAGTCAAGGAAGAGAATATATGGATCTCAAGTTCTTAATGATTAAACGTCACTCACAACGTATGCTACAGAAAGTGCTGGTTTATCCTCAATTAGGGCTACTGAAAGTAAACAAAATGCGTCTTAATCGTACAATCGAACCTGCTTTTGGCAGAGGTTTCTTTGGAATGTGGACATGATCTGTTGCTTATGTCAATATTTAGTTTGTTTGTGATGGTAAAATAGCTCTCGCAATAAGTAGCATCAGCAGAGAAGGTTGCTGTACTTATTATATCCACGACAAATAGATAGCTTGCGTAGTGATGGTGAAAGTTATACAAGGACGCTACTCTTGCGCACTCGTAACCGGACATGGTACAGATTTAAACCATTTTTCAGCCACCCCCTGTTTGCTAAAAGCGATAAGCTTGCGTCGCACACAGACAGTGGAACCAAATTAGAAACGCCTCCCCTTTTTCGATCTCCTGATATTCTTCCTGTGAATTAGAATGATTGGTGAGTGTTCTAATTGGTGTATTCACTGATATATTGATTACATATGGGAACGTCTATCCTGCCAATACTTTAGGAGGTTGTTTGTGCTTCCTTGATCACCCTCGATCTGATACTGTAGTTCCTTTGTAGCCAATACATCAACCAACAAATCCTTACAGCTTACATAGATCAATTAGCAACCGTGACTTTATTTGTACAGAGCCATACTAGGTGTCTGTTTTGGACAAGCTTTAATGGTAGACAACGAACAGGTCCTCACAAAGCTTTAGATGGAGTAGGAATGCTTGACAACGGTAAAAGGATCTATACCGAAACATCGCTTTTCACAGTATTAAAGAAGTTGTTATCCATAAAATTGTGTCTATCTTTGGTCCTTCAAATGTTCCATTTGCCCTCTCTAATATTTGGTAGAGACAAAGCAGTCCTAACTTTGTATGGCTGAGTAGCTGTAACACCTCCGTCTGTAATATTCCAATATCATCACGGTAGCATGTTAATAACCGAGTCTGGACAATGCAAACCAATGACAGACTTGGTAATTATCCCGGGCATTCCGCATGATGACACGCGATCAGACAAGTCACAGAGGCTGACAAAACGATCCATCTCATTAGATTCTTAAACTAACTGCAATATCTGCTGATGCTACTTGTTGCGAGAGCTATTTTACCATCACAAACAAACTGAATATAGACATAAGCAACAGATCATGTCCGCATTCAAAAGAAACCTCTGCCAAAATATCTCTCTCTCTCTCTCTCTCTCTCTCTCTCTCTCTCTCTCTCTCTCTCTCTCTCTCTCTCTCTCTGGAAGCAAAAGCCTGACACTTTTTCCACACACAACACTTTGAAGATGCAGGATCAAACAAACAGTGCAAGAATGTTTCCATCTTCATCCTGTGCCGTATCTTAAACGTGTTGTGGTGTGTTACATCAACGCGACTTTCGCGGAAACCAAAGTGTGTTAACAGCGACAGGCTGTGCGCACATGAAGAACACAAAAGAACAGACAGCTCTGCATTTAGCCGCATTAAAACAGTGTGAGGATTGTGTCAGGCTGTTGCTCCCAGAGTCTGATGTTAATGCTCAGGATGAAAATGGTAACACATTCTTGCACTATTTGTCGCAGAAACATGTTTCTCATGAAACATTACAATTCATTTTTGAGAAGGGATCAGATTGTAATGTAAAGAACAAAATGTGACAAACAGCTCTGTATGTCGCTTTCTCACAGCAGTTGGGAGAATGTGTCAGATTTGTTTGGCCATCTGCGATAAATGGTCAAGATAGAAATGGCAAAACAATCTTGCACCGCTTGCTTGTTGATACACACTTGTACAATCATGGACATCATCGAGTATTGCAACTTCTTATTGAGATGGGGGCGAATGGGCATTTGAAAAACAACAAAGGAAAAACAGCTCTGCACTTGGGAGACATTGTGAAGAATGTGTCATGCTCTTGTTACCAGTGTCAGATGTAAATGATCAGGATGAAGGTGGGGAAATGGCTTTACACTATCTGAATCATGATGTTCATGTATACACTGGCAATGTATCTAATACGCATGACTGACATAGTATTCTAAAGGCCCTTATTGAGATGGGGGCGAATGGGCATTTGAAAAACAACAAAGGAAAGACAGCTCTGCACTTGACAGCAAAAAAAAAACAGTGTGAAGAATGTGTCAGTCTCTTGTTACAAGTTTCAGATGTAAATGCTCCGGATGAAGACGGTAAAATAGCTTTACTCTATCTTAATCATCTAGCTGAGTACATTGTCGATGAATCAAATATGCATGACTGCCATGACGCTCTAAATGCCCTTATTGAGAAGGGGGCGGATGTGCACATGACGGTGTCAAGTGTGAAGTGTGTCAAACAGTTACTCCCAATATCGGATATAAATATCCAGGACGAATATGGGAACTAGTATAGTATCTACAGTTCTAATGAACTAGTTCTACACAAATGCTCAGAAATACTACAATCCTTTATTGATGGGAGAGTAGATGCCAAGTTGAAAAATAACAAGGGACAAACAACTTTGCATTTAGCAGCGAAATGTTCAAAATGCATCAGACTGTTGCACTGTCTCCGTGGGTCCCAATCTGCCTTATCAGATTCACGCAAAGGCGACTGTCATGTAACGGTACAATTCCTTCTGGAGCATGGTGCAAATAGACTCATGAAGAACAAACAAGGACAGACACCACTGTATTTTGCAGCATCAAAGAAGTGTGCAGAATGTGTGAACTTATTCAAAAAACACACATATTCAAAAAAGGAGAGAAAGCATTACACAGGTTAATAGCATGGTATCCGTACACAGAGGCTGTGAGGATGTTGTTACAAGTGTCTGATGTTAATGCTCAGGATAAAGATGGCAACACTGCTTTGCATTATATACTTGAGAGTGCATATACACAGTGTTCTGATCAGGCACATCGTTCTTCGGAAAGAAGTTTTTGGCATGAAACACTGCGACTCTTCATTGAGAAAGGGGCAGATGGACATTTGAAAAAAAT